GCAAAATACTACTCTACGTAGAGGGTGCATGTCCCGGAGGTGACCACTAGGGACGCACTTTATCATATAAATTAGCTTTTATATACGTAATCCTGGTCAGATCGGGCTGCCAATTCGTCGCCGTGACGCTTGTGGGACTGGCGCCCAGGAGGCGGTCGCAAGAGGGGCGAGGCCTTTCATCGCCGTTTGCGGCTTTAATTTACACTTTTATTCAACTTCTCCCCCTGCTGGACAAAATAAAATGAACAAATTGTCTACCGTTTTGATTTGAAATGTGAAGAAATGACTTAAGAACTTGTACCTTTTTGTGTCTGATAAATGGGTCTGATCATTCTTTCAACGTGTTTAGTTAATTCAACGGAATGTGAACCCTAACATGTGGCTATTTTAAAAAACAAAAAAAACTTGGCACTTACCGACTGCTAAAATACTAAGAATCGGTGCGTATGGGCTTTGTGAACTGAAACTTGCACATGTCATTGTTTTGTAAACACAGGTTTGGACATTCCTCTGTTCGCGCTTTGCCGTAAACATCAGCTCTCCCCGCCACTGCTGCCTCCACTGCTGGGGTTCAATCTCTGCCCCAGCCGCTTTATAATCCATGTCTACAGCGCGACAGGAGTATGGTGGCACTACAGCCTCCAGCTCCATCGAGTCACACGCACACTGCTGTGCTGTGTGCACAATGCATTGTGCTCCTCCCCCTTGCTGCTGCTGTAGGTACAAGACGTTCATGCATGACTGCAGCATGGGCCGCAGCTCATGTCGACCTTTGCTCAAAAGCACTTATGTTCACAGGTTTATTCCACATGCTTAAAACCAGTGATGGGAATTTTTCAGTAACGAGTAATCTAATTACTTTGACAGTAACTATAACGCCGTTATCATTTCCGACATCCCGTTACTGCGCGTTACTCAAGATGCACAATGAACGTGTTGTCATGAGAGAAGGGAGGATGAGAAAACCTCTCAGCAATTATTGGCTGATGTAAATCATATTTCCTTTACAATCTACATGTCTACAGTTGAGAGGATGCCTCATAAATTGTGTTTTTGAAACAAATATGGGTCTTAATCGCGCTCAACCACGGCATGTATCACCGTGAGGTCAGCCACAGAGTAGCGCATGTGAGCGCAGAAGTCGGCTGCATACAATTCCATCGATAAGCTCCTTGCTCTTCCTGGTTTATCTGCTAAGGACAGCAACAGGTTTGGCTAACATACATATAACACATTTTTACATAATCTAAAATGCACATAGGGTAATTTTTCAATTACTATAGGAATGAAAAAGAGAGGAAGTGTAAGACGGTTGATTTTAGAAATTGGATGCACTCGGCTGCCGCTAGCAAAACACAGGAGTTTATGGAGGACACACGCGTTTTGTTTTACTTTTTAAAACTCATTGGACTCATTTCCAAATGGAGGATTACATATCTACGCTCAAACCATTAACTGGATTTAAACAAGGAACTGGTCTGAACTGAAGTGGACTGTGCAGGTCATTTATAAGGTAAGACCCATAACTCATAGTTTTGCGTTTTGTATGAACAAACAATGCGGGCATAAAACATTTTGTTGTAGCCAAACACATTGTCCACTTGATTTATATGATGTATATGTTCATCTGATTGGACTGAAGTCAGTGCTTCACCAGCCTCACCGCTCGTCACCGGTGTTTCCACATTCACAGTGGCGGGTGTTGGTGTTTAGTGCTTACAGCACAGAGAGAGATGAAGAGTGAACAGGACTTCAGCAGCAAAACAGCCTTTTCTAGATGGAAATATTGGCACTGTTAAAGGTAAAAATGCGCACGTCGGGTGCACATTATGTTCCAGAACAAAACGAAAAAGTAACGCAATAGTTACTTTTACTGGTAACTAGTTACTTTTATAGTGGAGTAACTCCGTTAGTAACTCAGTTACTTTTTGGGAGAAGTAACTAGTAACTATAACTAATTACTTTTTCAAAGTAACTTGCCCAACACTGCTTAAAACTGATACTTTTGTCATAGTGAAACATATAATGTAGGCCAAAACAATGGGTGTTTTTTCTTCCTTGTAAGGTGATGCAAGAGTGAAATAAAGAGCTATGTAGACATGCTATCTAATCTGAAAAGGCTACAACAATAAATGCCAACAAAAATGGAATTGGTTGTATCAAGATTTTCTCCTCATAGTTCATTGAAGATCTGGTGAATTGTAATTACACATACATAGGTTGTGTCTAAGCACACTTTAAAACATGTTCAAATCCCATTAGAAGATGAGGACAGATGTCTGCAAACATATCTTATGTCTATAGACTCATAAAACATACAGCTCGTAGCTTATTTACTCTTTAACTTTCCTCATCTCATTTAAAATAAATAAGAGGAAATGGAGCATCGTGGCATTTGTGTTGGTGCTGGTGAAGCGGGAGGGGTCCCACACGCGCCTCCAAATATTTTTTTCTACAGATTTTAAGTGAGATTTTATTTAGAGGCGGTGCTTGTTGGCTTCAGTGTAGCGTCGTAACGACACTTTTTTTCTCCGGTCCCTGTAAAAGAGTTTGACCAGGAACAGAGTTGGTGCTGGGGGGGTCGCTGATAAGCTTTCCCGGGGGGCACTTGCTGAGTGACAGTCGCATCATCTACAGTATGTGTTCAACCATGATTCTTCTCTGCATTTTTGTGGTGGTGTTGAGCCAGGTCTGCGCCCTTCCTCTAAAGGTCGGTATCATTTTTATCAATTAAAATGTATCAAATATAAATGCTGCTACAACTTTATTTTTTCGTATTTTTATTTTTTACAGAATACCACTGATCCAAATGAAGTCAAACTGAGAATGAAAAGAAAGTATTCAGGTAAAATTTTACAATGAGTTTTGGACATTTTTATACAGAAATTATGACATTCATTACTTGCATGCATTTGATATTTTTTAAATAGATGAAATGAAAGATTGGGATTAAATGACAGCAATGGATCAAATCCTTGTAGTTAACAGCAGTAAGTATTGCAAATGATCAGAAAGAAAACACGGAATTGGCTGAATATTCTTTTATGACCAGGGCTTCGACATTGCGACTACATTCCCACGCAGTGCTATAGCATGCCCTGGAAACTCTTGTCTCTGGCCTAAATCAGTGGATGGATTTGTTTATGTGCCTTACATCATGTCTCCTCTCTATGGTATGGATTTGCACTCAACAATGTAGGACTGAACCTGCTGTTTCTTCTGCCAACTATTACATTTTTCACACTAGATGACATGGACAGAATTACAATAGAAACTGGAATGCAAGATATCTCTTCTGGAACGTGCGTTAAGTTTGTTCCACGCACTCACGAAGGCAGCTTTTTGGATATTCAGCCTAGATATGGGTATGTTGTAAATATGTTGGTAATTTTTGTGATTCATTTTGTGATTCATAAATATACAACGTTTATGTATTTCTTTAATTTGTTTTTATTTCTAATGGTTCTATTTGTGAAGTTATATCATGTTGTTGTTGTATCCAAAGTTGCTGGTCTTTCCTGGGACAGACAGGAGGAAGCCAGACGTTATCCCTGCAAACGCCTGGGTGCATGTGGTCTGGAGTAGCAGCTCACGAATTCATGCATGCGCTTGGCTTTGTACATGAACAGTCTAGGTCTGACCGTGACCACTATGTGACAATAGTATGGAAAAATATTGTGCCAGGTCTGTGTATGCATATGTCATAAATTGTGTCTCTTTTAGTACTTACTGTTTTAAAATTGTTGGCAGATCAAATGCATAACTTCAGAAAGCAGGCGACCAACAACTTAAACAGCCCCTATGACTATGGAAGGTGCGGTTACATAGGGTGACATAATTAAAGGGTCTTCTTGTTTTGGTGAAGCTCCACTATATATTTTTATGCTTCAATGCAGGTATGCATTCTATGAAGATGGAGAACCTACAATAATCCCAAAACCTGATCCTTACATTCCCATTGGCCAAAGAGACGGACCAAGTGCTTTAGACTTACATAAAATAAATGTTCTCTACGACTGTGGTAAGTGGCCATACCAAGGTCTATACTCCTGAATGTTGCATTGATTATTTCCTGACACTTGTAATTCATTTGCCCATCACAGGTGCAAACGAATAACTTGGCTGTAGAAAAAACATGTTTGCTTTTATTTAGTTTCAGTTGTTTCCCCTTACTAATATTATGCTATTAATAACGTTTTTTAACATTGATTAACATTATTTTATGAAATTATATTGAGATATTAATTCCATGTACCTATTATGTGATGTGTAATGTCATATGAATGCTATTTCTAAATAAAGCAGTTGTTGCAATGATTTTCATATTTGTTTGAACATGTGTCTATTTTACAATATATATTTTGCCATTCTCCCATAATGCAACATATGACAAACGAGTAGTCACGATCCATTTCAGAATGACTATGAATGTAGAAAATTACTATTTGAAGGAGAAATATTTCTACATTAGTTATTAAAATAAATATATTATTTAATCTTTATTTTTAATAGAAAAAAAAACCTCAACATTTTGAATTCACAAAGAAGCATATCCCCACATATTAATTATAATTGAAATAATAATAAAACATATCACAATAGTGTAGATTTTAAGTCTCCAGTTATACCCTAGAACTTGAAATTTACGAAGGCATGCATTTAACTTTAGGGTGGGTTTGGTTGGGTTGAAACTCAGAGTACCGCAGAGCCTAGATGGGTCTATATTTAAATGAAATGCTTGCAATCGGTAAAAACAAGATGAGAAGAAAAATATAATGACCCTAAACTCCTGTTACCAAATACCAAGTAACAAAGGGAGGCCGATATGGCAAATTTGTGGAGGCTATGTGTAAAAATACTAATTTATTTCAACATTATTTTATTTTCTGTTTGCATGCATTTCTGGTATGTTCCTTCCTGGGGGAGGAGCTGTGCAGCCTCAGCACGCACACACACATTGGCGCTCCGTCCAGACCCTCGGTGACTCGCTGCGGTTATAAATGCGACTGGTTACCGTCAAACCTTTGACCACACAAAGTGTAACAAACATGAGCGATAACGAAAAGGTCTATGGTCGGGTAAGTAAGACCTTTCTTTAATCTGTCGGATGATTGACTGATGCATGGATTCCATTTGACGATAAACGGTAAATGCTAGCTAATGTTAATGCTACAAGCTAACGTTAACAAAGCTAAACGCGTCCGCGATGAAGAAAACAATGTGCGCAATGTAGCCACGCTGTGCATGAATCGTCATTTTTACTGTAGAAGTCCTGCTTGGCATACGTAAAAATCCTTTAGTTCTAAAAAAAAACATCGTTTCATAATGTTTAATGTAAAGTGTTTTGTCATTCAAGATAGTAACATTAGACCGCGGGGCCTCAGTGCGAGCATGGCCTTAGATCATGGCATGGAGACGCAGTCCCTCTTGATCAGCGATCGGTCAGAACTCATGGCATTTTATGCAATTGTGATTTGCTAAATTGCACATGGTCAAGGAGAGAAACGCTATAAAACATGAAATGTAATTTACTGACTTATTTTCTGATTTTAATGTTGGAATAATAGTTGGCCCTCCCTCGGTATGCCTAGCTAAACTTATCCCACTGACGACACATCGTACACGGGACTGCTGTTTGCCCGGGTGCAAAGTGAAACTAAGCAGCCATTGCGCTGTTTCAATGTCTACCAAAGGCCGAGGCCTTAGGAAGGCTCGTCTTTGCATCCGGGGTTTATTATCGCCTCAATGCTTGAGTCTAGTAGTTAAAGTCACTCTGCTACGAATTTCGAATTCAATGCTCGATTTGATGAAATCTCGTTTTTCTGTTTTTACGTGTTATGTACAATGTTGTTAACGATTCTCGTGCATGTGATGTAACTATGAATATGAACCGGGATTAAAATTTGTAACTATAGTCATATTCTTCATGCTTTTCTTTTTCATAAAGGTTAAGATTGGACGAAGAAAAGGCTGAAGAACCTCTTTATTATCAATAAAATGAAGCTCAGATGTGTGAAGCTGAATTTGTGAATGCATGCTAAAACATGAGGCGGGAAGAAGTATGGGCAGTGTGTGAAAAGGGGGAAGTAAGAAGAATTAAGACATTGAAGAAAGAAGAATATTGTGAAGTAATGAAGTGACAGAAATAAAGAAGTAAATGAAGTAATCTGGAGAAGGTATAGGGTTATGTCATTTTTCTAGTCTGTTTGTCAAATGCGTGCATGTTCTTATCCAATGAAACAGTATTTTCAATAATTTCCACACAACTCTTTCTGTCATGTTGACAAACTAAATTATACTCACACATATTTGCTGCTTTCATTAGCAATTATGTTTAAAAAAATTAGTTTATCGGCTTTCCTTTGCTATACTTCAACCTGTCCCTTTCTGTATTCCTCAGACTAGCCTTATTCCTAAGTGCACACACATTTTAGATGAGCATGTGCCCTTTGATCGTTGCTCATCAGACTTGTGTGTGTGGTTCGTTTAGGAGTCCCGCTCTGCCTCGAGGAGTGCTTCTCGGGGCTCCCACGGCTCTGGAAAGTCAGCGAGTCACTCCCCGGCTCGTTCTAAGGATGGCTCCCGCCATTCCCGCTCCAAATCTCGTTCCCGATCAAGGTCTAAATCTGGGTAAGAAATTATGCCCCCCTCTTCCTTGCTAAAATGTTTCTCTTTATGTACTCCTACTGTATATACGTATGCTCATAATAACTTGTGGTTGTGGGGTTTGTTATTGTCAGTTCCCGTCGCGGCTCCAAGCGCCATTGCAGCCGTTCTCGCTCCCGCTCGCGCTCCTACCGCAGACGCTCTCGCAGCCGCTCCTACAGTGGTGAGCGACGCCACCGGAGCCACAGCCGGTCCCCTATGTCCAACCGCCGCAGACACATCGGCAACAGAGTATGTGTTCACCACGTTATCATAAATACTTTTTAAAACTTTGAATGTATTGGTTGTTTATTTGTACTGTCTGCAGGCAAATCCGGACCCAAACGCCTGTATTGGAGTTTTTGGCCTAAGTTTGTACACCACAGAGCGGGACCTGAGGGATGTCTTCTCCAAATACGGTCCCTTAGCAGACGTCGGTATTGTGTATGACCAGCAATCGAGGCGCTCCAGGGGCTTTGCTTTTGTTTACTTTGAGAACACGGCTGATTCAAAAGAAGTATGTGGCAACACTGAGTTAAATGATCAGAGAAACTAGGTGTAGAGTTATGTTCATGAATATCTTGTGTTCCTTTTAGGCAAAGGAGAGGGCAAATGGCATGGAGCTGGATGGGCGCAGGATTAGAGTGGACTTCTCAATAACAAAAAGACCTCACACACCGACACCTGGGATCTACATGGGCCGACCGACATAGTAAGAAGAACTTAACCTATTACAAGATTAAAATGATATCCCTTGTTGTAAATCATATGTATCTTTGATTCACTGTTCAAAGCTAAAGCTCATTTCTTATTTGTGTAGTGGTGGAGGCGGACCCAGTGGCCCTCGCCGGCACTCTCGAGACTCTCGAGACTCTCGTGACTATGACCGTGGGTATGAACGAGGGTATGACCGAGGAGACCGGGGAGATAGAGGCGGCGACAGGGGAGATAGAGGCGGCGACAGGGGAGATAGAGGAGGAGGCTATGATCGATATGAGGACAGGGACTACTACAGATCATACAGGTATACCGAAACTAAAATAAAAGTGTTCAATGAAAATAATTTACGTAAATTATCCGAATATCTAAGAAACCATTCATGGAATTCTGTCTATTACTGCAAATGTCCAGATGGAGCATATAATGCCCTGATCCATGAAATAATGGAAAGCATAAATCTATGTATACCTGAGAAAAATTCTAAAAAGAAAAGTGGAGGATGGGAAAAAATGGCTTACACAAGGAATCTTGAAATCAATAAAAAAGAAAAATACTTTGTACCGCCATTTCAAAAATGGAGAAACTGAAGCGAATAAAATGAAATATATTACATATAAGAATAAATTGACAAAAATTATTCGTAAAAGCAAACAAATGTACTATTCTGAGCAGTTAAAGGCTTCTCGTGGCGATCAGAAGCAGTGCTGGAAAGTACTTAATGATGTCCTAAACCGGGGTCAAAAAACAAATACATTACCTGACACCATAATGAATGCAGCCAATGGCTCCACTGACCACTATCTTGCTAACTGTTTCAATGAGTATTTTAACTCAATAGGCGAAAAAAAAAAAAAGTCCAAAAGAGGGTGCCAATTACAAACAGTATCAAAAAGGCAACTATCCGGGCTCTTTCTATCTCTCACCAACTGACAAATATGAAATCACTAATTTAATTTTGGAACGCTCCAACACAGCCGGTGCCGACAGTATAAGCAGCAAAATCGTAAAATTCATAATTCATGAAATTGTCGACCCTCTAACTTACTGCCTTAACCTCTCCCTTCAATGTGGGGTGGTGCCAAAAATGACCAAAATTTCCAAAATTCTCCCAATATTCAAATCTGGTGACAAAAATGATATTAAAAACTATCGACCAATATCTATTTTACCAACACTATCTAAAATATTCGAAAAAGTTGTCTATAAGAGGTTAATTGACTACTTAAATAAACAAAATATTCTCACAACATCACAATATGGCTTCAGAGAAAACAGCACCACTTGCATGGCAATTCTGGATCTGGTAGAAAAAAATCAACGACGCTATACCTGATAAAGGTGAGTGTGGCATCGGTGTTTTCCTTGACTTATCGAAAGCGTTTGATACTATTGATTTTAACATACTCCTTGGCAAATTGCAACATTATGGTGTCAGAGGTTTAGCACTCAGTTGGTTCAGCAGCTACTTAAATGAAAGGGAGCAATATGTGTACTCTAATAATCAGACTTCACACCGTAAAACCATTAAATGTGGGGTCCCACAGGGCTCAGTCCTAGGCCCGCTACTATTCATTATTTATGTAAATGACTTTCCAAATTCATCTCAAATCCTCCATAATGTAATCTTTGCTGATGATACAAACCTATTTTTATCCCACAAAGACCCAAAACGTCTACAAAACACTATAAATGATGAATTAAGAAAAGTAGACACCTGGTTCCATTGTAATAAATTAACATTAAACATAAATAAAACCAAATTTATTGTATTTTGCTCTAATAGAAACAGGAAAAATCTTGAAAATATACATATCTCAATAAACAGTATAAGTATTAAAAGACTAAACTGTATTACATTTCTTGGATTTCAAATTGATGAACACCTGAATTTCCAAAAACATATTGATCATCTTGTTAAAAAATTATCCAAATATGTCTGCTTATTTTATAAATTGAGACGTTTCCTTCCCCTTGAGGCCCTTTTGATTTTGTACCGATCCCTTTTTGAACCCCATCTAAATTACTGCAACGTGATCTGGTGCAACACATTCCCCAGCTATCTTTTGAAATTACAAGCTCTTCAAAAGAAAGCCATTCGAGCCATTTCTTGGGCCAAGTTTAACAGCCCCACTGATCACTTATTCTATAAATATAAGCTTCTGAAACTTACTGAGTGCAACCTCTTCCAAAATACATGTATAATGTAGTGTTTACACCTAAGGACAGACTGGCTCGGCTCATCCCAATCTCTACACCTGCTCATGATTACAAGACATAAAACCCTTTTTACAGGGAAAAATTAGAACACTCAAGTGTACAAGCTTCAGTGTGGCGTGTAAAGGCCCACAAGTTTGGAACGAGCTGAACATTAACATTAAAACCGTAAGATCTCTGGCTATTTTTAAAAATAAACTAAAAATTGAGCTTCTAGAAAAGTATAATAAACCCTAGCTGATGACCTCTAACAAGACTTATGTATTTGTTTGATCGTAATGTGTGTAAGCAAAAAAAAAGATAAAATAAAATAAAATATAATAATAATAATAATAATAATTCGTACCTTTTAAGTAAATTGATGTAACTCTAAGCTAGTAAAAGTAAGGTAAGGCAGTTTTAATTAGAGCAGGTAAGGTTAGTTAGTAGGTAATAGAATAGGTATCTAGGGCAATATGTTCTAGGTTACTAATGTATGTTTGTGTAATATTGTGTATTGTCTTGGGCCCCATATATAAGCTAAATGTTGCTTCAAGGGTGTCCCGTTTATGAATATGCACTATCATCTATAAATGGATGTTAAAATGTTTTTACTGTATATTTGTAATAAACTGAACTGTATGTCCCTTAACACTCATTTTCCTTTTATAATGATTTGTCAATGTCTTCTGTCAGAAAACGCTCTCCGTCTCCTTACTACAGGGGTGCATACAGGTCCCGGTCCAGGTCACGATCCTATTCACCTCGTAAGTTTTAAGTTTGATTTCAGTCATAATGTAGAAAAGGTGGGGCATGGTGTTAACGTTCTTTTTGTTTTTGCAGGTCGATATTGAACATCTAAATGAAGCATTGTTTAAGTCTGAAGCACAGAATGAGTCTAGTATGTTGTTGGGTGGTCAGATAGTTCTTTTTACTTAGATGGTCATTTAATGTCCATGTGCAGTACTTGTATACAGTTAAACTTTCATGTGAGCTGTCATGTTTTTATTTTCCCATCCTAATTACATCGATTTGTATTTTTTTGTATGCTGTTTGGGTCTTTGAAGAAATTAAAGAGAACTGCATTTTCCATATTGGCGCAATTTTTTTAATGTTTTTATTTTTGTCTTCCTCCATTGTTGGTTTGTCAACACACACTTCGGGAATATGTAATTCATTTACACTTTTATTCAACTTCTCCCCCTGCTGGACAAAATAAAATGAACAAATTGTCTACCGTTTTTAGTAGTTTTGATTTGAAATGTGAAGAAATGACTCAACTTGTACCTTTTTGTGTCTGATAAATGGGTCTGATCATTCTTTCAACGTGTTTAGTTAATTCAACGGAATGTGAACCCTAACATGTGACTATTTTAAACAAAAAAAACTTGGCACTTACCGACTACTAAAATACTAAGAATCGGTGCGTATGGGCTGTGTGAACTGAAACTTGTGTAACATAGAACTGTAACATAGATTTTCTCAAGAACTGGTGAGCAACAAGAAATCAGGGTTACATGTCATTGTTTTGTAAACACAGGTTTGGACATTCCTCTGTTCGCGCTTTGTCGTAAACATCAGCTCTCCCCGCCACTGCTGCCTCCACTGCTGGGGTTCAATCTCTGCCCCAGCCGCTTTATAATCCATGTCTACAGCGCGACAGGAGTATGGCGGCACTACAGCCTCCAGCTCCATCGAGTCACACGCACACTGCTGTGCTGTGTGCACAATGCATTGTGCTCCTCCCCCTTGCTGCTGCTGTAGGTACAAGACGTTCATGCATGACTGCAGCATGGGCCGCAGCTCATGTCGACCTTTGCTCAAAAGCACTTATGTTCACAGGTTTATTCCACATGCTTAAAACGGATACTTTTGTCATAGTGAAACATATAATGTAGGCCAAAACAATGGGTGTTTTTTCTTCCTTGTAAGGTGATGCAAGAGTGAAATAAAGAGCTATGTAGACATGCTATCTAATCTGAATAGGCTACAACAATAAATGCCAACAAAAATGTAATTGGTTGTATCAAGATTTTTCTCCTCATAGTTCATTGAAGATCTGGTGAATTGTAATTACACATACATAGGTTGTGTCTAAGCACACTTTAAAACATGTTCAAATCCCATTAGAAGATGAGGACAGACGTCTGCAAACATATCTTATGTCTATAGACTCATAAAACATACAGCTCGTAGCTTATTTACTCTTTAACTTTCCTCATATCTCATTTAAAATAAATAAGAGGAAATGGAGCATCGTGGCATTTGTGTTGGTGCTGGTGAAGCGGGAGGGGTCCCACACGCGCCTCCAAATATTTTTTTCTACAGATTTTAAGTGAGATTTTATTTAGAGGCGGTGCTTGTTGGCTTCAGTGTAGCGTCGTAACGACACTTTTCTCCGGTCCCTGTAAAAGAGTTTGACCAGGGCCAGAGTTGGTGCTGGGGGGTCGCTGATAAGCTTTCCCGGGGGGCACTTGCTGCGTTTTTCCCAGCACATTTTATGTTTTATTATTTTTTATTATTTTATTTTTGTACTTTTGTAGACCGCCACTCACGCTGATACCCCTTCGAGTATTTTTTCCTTTCAGATCATGAACAAACTATATGTTGGGAATTTAAGTCCTTCGGTCACTGTCGAGGACTTGAAGGAGCTGTTTGATGAGAAGAAGCTGCCAGTGGCCGAGCAGGTCTTTCTGAAAACGGGCTATGCTTTTGTGGACTTCCCAGACCAGAACTCGGCCATAAAGGCTATAGAGACTTTATCTGGTAAGTGTGGCTTTGATAAGTACTCAAGTGATGCTGCATTGACACGCTGAGTGCACAAGCTGTGAACATAGGCAAATGCACAATACTATATGGACATGAGGAGGCTGAAATATTATTTATCACTCGTATTTTGAGCTCGGGCTTTGACGTTCACGTCCGTGTGCCATCCGAGTTTAGATGAGTGGACATTCAACAAAACCTGAATAAATGGTCGCGCACACTTCACAGAGAGTGAGCCAAAGCTTAGAGGGGACGTTTGCCTATAGACAACACAAGTCGTGCAAACAGAATTAAAACTAAGTAGCCTACACATGGGAGATTCCGATAGTGTGCATGGGCGCTACTTTGCAATCACCCGCTGGAATGTATGGGATGGTCTGACGGTTCGGGTAGGCATAATTATTTTTCACTTATTTTTTATCTTGATTTTATTGAAGAGCGCAGGCTGAAGCGAGCGCTGAAAACTTGTCAGAGCTGTGTTCCTCTGATGTCTGGCTATGTTTTTACGAGGTGTCTTGGAGGTGGGTCGTGGGGGTCCAGAGGAAAGGGCTAATAAACAGGTAGCTGAAGGGGGACGAGGTGAGACGCTGCTAATTCCGTGCTGCGCCAGCATAATAGAAACGTAAAGCCGTACTGAAGCTAACGCGAGTCAGAGCGCCCCACACTCCACATGGAGAATTAAGAAACACCTACCTACAAGTAAAGACTACAAGTCACTCTTCTTTCCAACCATCTCCGCTTTCACGTTGCATTCTTTACAGTGAGCAGAAAAAACATACCCCACATTGCGCTCACAGGGTTGTGGGAGTGGAAAGCATGGCTGCCCAGTTCCCCATATTACTATAAAGCTTGTTTCTTTGTTTATCAGTGTACAAGTTTATTTTAATTTATTCACTGCCAATTATACGTGTGCTATTGTCCTTTCCCCGTTGCCATGCTGGCGTAGTTGGTATAGAAAATAGTTTCAATGAACTGTATGTATGAATGGGGACGCACCTACTTCGTGAAGTGATTCCAGTGTTGTGGTGTAGGTCTACCATTGTTTATTTCATGGCTCGACTAACGTTACATTTTCCATTTCCTCCCTACAGGTAAAGTCAAGCTGCACGGAAAGGTCATAGAGGTAGACTACTCCGTCCCCAAAAAACTAAGGTAGGCCTACAACCTTTGAAGAAAAACATTCTCACTTTTACGCACGCACACACACACACACACACACACACACACACACACAATGCAAACACGCCTATGGATCCTTAGCCTAATGGCAGACCCAGTGTGACCTGTGGCCTTCCTGTGTGAAAAACGCAAATTTCTACTATAAACCATTTTGATTTTTAGTGAATTAGGGAGAACAGAGGCGGCCAAAGGGTCTCTTTTCCAGAAGAAGGCACAGGACGCGACACGAGGGCAGAGTGGCTCCCCTCCATTGCTCACATATCTGCTGCCATGTAAGGCTATTTGAAGACACACATGTATCAAATAATTGCTGCTTAATTGCATTGCTTAATTGCATTTTTATGGGACTATTTTCAATTTGACTAACGATTAACTGATTAACCTGTAGCACCCCTTAGGTCTACGCAGTTGCATAGTGTGTGACGAGAAAGAGTTAAGTTTTTCTATAGGACTGCCTTTAACTCCTAACTCGCCGCAGCTCTCACAGCCCCCTGTACCATATGCTGTGTCCTTCCGCAATGCTCCCCTTCTTCAAAAAAGCAAAAAGATTCATGTTAAAGTGCATATTTCGCAGTGTGTGTTGTGTATTGTGCGTAAACATAAAAGTTGTGTACATGCAAAAATGTGTTTAGTCGTGTATGCGTGTGCGAAGATTCCATAGCATATAGGGAAAGACTACATTGCGTGACCAAAAGGTAAATATTCCAGCCCCCTGTTGAGGACCACGTGACGTAGACTTTACATACTTCCAGCAGTCCCCCGCTATGGGCGCTGCCTGTTCTTTTTGTGGAGTTCATGCAGTTTTACTCGCCATTAGCGTTATTATAGCGTTTTACAAATATGTGTGCGTCTGATGGTACATTTGGGGCCGCCTATATGGTGTGTATTTTCCGTATGTCCTGTTTTCAGCATGGTTTTTGCAGTTGTACTCGGCATGGTGAAGCCTGCGCCACTCCCCATTGTTGTGCACGTAGGCCATTGGGAGAGCCTTGTGGCAGCCATGATGGTCCTACAGCGCGGCGTCAAGGCTTGTGTGGATCACATGAACAGTGTCCATACATGCAGCGTGTGGCCAATAGGAGGCTGGTCAGGGCTGTATGTGACGCTTTTAGGCCTTTTAACTGTAGCCCTATGTCCGCCACATGAGCCAGAGTGCGGAAGAGACTATCGTCTTACGCACAGGTGAACGTCTGCCCACATGGATAATATAATTTTTTATCACGCCTCTTTTTAATTGCTGTTTTAATTGGAAAACATCTATAACGTTATAATTATAATTTAGAAAAGCCTCCAAGATTATTGCTGTTGTCATTTAGGGCTATACAAAAAATACGTTGAATTGAGTATAACCCTGTTGATGTAATTGAACAAAACGTGTAGTAATTCACGTAAATACACGGGGGGAAAAACTGCTTTTGTTTTACAATATTTGCTCGACTAATACCTGGAATTAAGCAGTTACAGTAGTGTCGGTATTTTCAGTAATGGTCCTGTAGTAATTATCTTTTTTAGGAGATTTTAGGAGTGTGTTTAGTCGAGCACAAGCTGAGTTGGGATCCTCGTTCTAGGCCTGTTGTGTTTTACTGCTGCTTTAGTTTGCATATTGTGGCTTTAAATGTAAGCATTTTAGACACACACCAGCACATTTAGAGAAGGGATTAATTGTTTTTAATTTATGGTAAAAAGTTTATTCTCAGCCTGGTAACTTCATCAGTTATAGTAGTTTTACCGTAAATTTGCTTTGTTGAAAAGGCCTTAAACCACAACAGTTTGACTTGACAAAATTAATGCAATCAGTGGTTTTATATTTGTAAAATTGTCATTTATATCTGGCAATAATATACAATTATGAAAATGATGAGCAAAATACATTTTCCAACCAAAATAACATTGGTAATGTTATATAACAACATAATATTGAAGGAGAATCCTCTAAACTGTATTATTAAACACTGCTGCACATTAAGAATTAAATATACAACATATACAATAGAGCCCCCCTTAAAATACACTGTCAGCATCAAGGTGAGTTTACCAAAGTGCTTTATAGAATAACAAGGGGAAATTAATACAACTTTACATTCATGAAATACATGAATTTGACCTAGTACACAATTCAATTGATTTAATTTACTGTAATATGTCATATTTATTTTCAGTATCTATTGTACATTATAGTAATAAGAGTATTATCATTATTACTTATTATTTAGTATTATTATCTGTATGTGGAAAATACAAAGTACAAATGATGACATATTCTGTTCAGCAAATATAAAGGCCTGTTGCTATTAAATGCTAATAACATAGCTGTAACCCTGGCCACACTTACAATGTTGCATACAATTAATTCCTACTCCTATTTACGATATAAAAAACACATATTGCTTTGACTTGTCATGTTGGTTTAACAATAATAAGTTGTAAAGTTATTCACATGCATGTGTGCTGGTGATAATAGCTAATGCTGCTACATAATGAGTGCTGTATTCCTCAAAGGTGTGGAAGATGTGGGCAGTGAGAATTCTCACCGCCGTGCTCATCCCAGTTTATAACGGCTGTGTGAAGACTGCCTCACACGTACTGCTGCATTCATGTTGTTCATGTGGTCAATTATTCTCCTGATTCATTTGTTTACTATTTCGATTTGAAAAAGGTCTGAGAGAATCAGCTCTAGAAATAATTGTTTACTCCTGGAATATGTGAATATGATAGAAGCTTTGGTTGTGTTACTTAACAACAGTCATTGATGAGATTTGATTGATTTGAGTGTGACGTAGATATATTTGAACACACTGTTTTCGTTGGTCACGTCTACACAGTGAAACATGAGCGGCAGCAGTTGATCCCCCTGTGTGAATGTGTCCAGGGAAGCACCCAGAGCTGAAGGATGCTCAAAACCACCTGTCCATCAGCCCATCACATGAGGCCGCATCCTCAAAGCATAGATATTCATTACTAAACTAGACAATTTTAACCCATAAATAACAATCACAGCTATGTTTGTACTTAATAATAATAATGATGCTTGTTTGTTTGTACCAAAAGGTCTGCTAAGTATATAGATCTTAGAATTTGTTCTTGTTTGCTTCTGTCAACAATCAGTACAGAAACATGAAATAAAAAAACAAATGCTTTCATTCATTCTAAACGATGTGAGATGATTATTGTCCTTTCACATAGTTATCATCTTCCTCATTTGTTATTGTCAGCTCATGTGGAACAAGTACATAACAAAACTTAAGGTTATTTGATGAGTTGGCGAATAAGCAGAACTTTTACTCTACTTGATTTACCAGTAAGACAGGTACAAGTAAGACAGGTGGGGTTTAATTCACTTCATTGAAATTGCGTCAAATCTCCAATCATATGACTGTTGTATGGCTATTACTATTATGTCTTATTTTGGAAATTTGACGTTGATAATTGTTTTTTTAATTAAAACTAAAACAAAAGAAACACTGCTATTTCACTACATTGTCTATGAAGCCCATTTTATATTCTTTCACAGAGCACCTGGACCACTCTTTTCTCAATTTTTGAACAATTCCATTTCCGCTTACAAGCAAGAGTAATTTTCTAACATTTTCACCATATTGGTAATGAACAGCTAAAAATATTGACAAACGATTCCCTCTATAGCTGCTGCTGCTGATATAGTTTGCTGTACTTTAGCCTGTATTCGTCCACTATTGTACATTTTTTCCTCACCTCCTCCGTGGCAAAGCACTTCTTGCATCTTTCACGCAGCGTAGTGTATATTTCTTCCTCCTGAGTCATAACTTTGCTTCCTTCTGCAACAGTGTCCATAGCATAAGGGCTGAGCCAGATTAGATGCAAGAGAATTGTGAATTCATTGTGTGTCTGTGTATCAGACTTGTGGGATCTCTACGTAAGCTTCCGGAGATTTCTCTTTCCTTTTTTCCCCTTGGGCTGATATAGCGTGCAGCTCTGTTTCACACCAAGTTGCCATTCAGAATTTTACTGTAACCTGTTGAGTGAGTAAAATGCACATTGCGAAGTCAAAATGGCATGGCAAGTTTATTTGTATTGCACAGTTCATACACAAGGCAGCTCAAATTGCTTAACAAAACAAGTGAAGAAATGTTAAAATCATAAATTATCGCTGCACTTTAAGAATAGCAAAGATACCATCCTCTTGTTTTTAACCTGCATTTGAACATAATGTGAACACAATGTGAAACAAGCATTAATTATCCATAGATGAGACTTGTTTCACTCAAATGGTTTTGTGTTACAGAAATAATTACTATGAGCTAATACCAACAACAATAATAATGTGCAAACAATAATGTGCACAAGTTGGGTGAACTTTTTAGTCCGACTGAACTTATACATAACTTTTAAGGGAAACATTCTTCCCTCTGGAAATATCAAAGCAGTAGATTCAATGATCCTAATGTTTATGTAAAAATTGCTGACTTCATTCCTTCCTTGCTCATTGTTGTATGTGTCAACATTATATAAAGGTTGCTTCTTGACAAAAACATTTCATTTACAGTTTGATGTTACTACGCAGCGCAAAGCAATGTTGTACACATGAAATAAAGTCACAGCCTTTTCACATTGACCAAAACGGCCAATAATCCCGGGGCCCTGTTCTTTTCGGACTGACCAACACGGGATGGTTGGTCAGCAATTAACCTATAGAAGCTCTTTAAGTTGTTCTTGTAGAAAAAATATGTTGGAAATTGTCTATATTGCTCCACATGGATTTTAAGCTGTTGTCTAGCTGTTGTCTATTAGGTTCTCTGTGGTGAAGAAGATAAAAGATATCACAATCAGTGTTCACAATAATAATATGAAATAGGCCTTTATTGTCTCCGGATGGAAACATTTGTCTTGGGCATCAGAGGTAAAACAAAAAGCATCACATACATAGAAGAATACAGGACAACGTCATGAGTTCATACACAGTCATAGACCCAAAAGCTTCACCAAACGAAAAGGGT